CTCGTATTTAAGGAGTGAATATTTTTTAGATACAAAAATAGTTATCGCGTGGAAATATTTACTAAATTAGAGTTGACCAACGTACAATTTTATTTTTAGATTTGAAGTTGTATAAATGGGGAGGTTGAGCGGGTTAGTGTGTTTTTCTTAGTAGTTCTTGTGTTATTTTTGATTGAGAATTTTAAATATGTTGCATTCTTTTAGTTTTTTGGGTAATTTTCTTTACAAAGAGCACGTTTTGTTGAGTGGTTTTTTTAATTTTGCGAAGAATGAGGTTGCTTAATAATTATCTCTATCGACACATTATAGGAAGTTAGTACAATAAGTTTTTATGTGATTGTGAAACTAGCTATTTTTAAATTGTAGGATTTCCTATTTTTATGAGGGTATTTTATCTTAATTTTTAATTAAGAGTTGATGAAGAAAACCTCGTTGTTTTTTTCATTGAATTTTAACAAAGAATAATGGTAATGTTGATTTTATTAAATAATATCTTATTTTAGTAATATTTCTAATGGAGTATCCTATTTCTTATGAATACTTCTTTTTATTAATATTTTACATCATTTGTCAGAATGGAATTAATATATATATATATATATATATATATATATGTCATTGGACATTGTTATTTTTAGATAACACTCTATAATTGACCGAAGTGTACTTTTTATTTATAAATTAATTGAAGTTGACTCGCAATTAAATCCATTTGGGTTAAAAACCTCCTTAAATACATTTAGCTATCAAATTAAGAACGCTTACCATTTAGATAGGCTGAGGTAAAATACTGTTTGGTCAATATGTAGGTTATTCAGGTGACTAGATTTATATACAGATGAAATCACATTGTAGTCGTCAGTGACGATATTATACTCATTATTAATTGGGTAAAAATACCAAAGTGATTTTGAGTGACGAATTTCTTTATATATATATATTAATTTTGGTTGATCGTTAATGACCAAAATATGATTGATCTTTTATGTGTAGAAATTACGTCTGCGAATAATTAATCATATAATATTATATATTTTTTTTGTCTTTGTTTTTGTCTTTTTTTATGATTTAAAATTTAACGATTATAATTGGGGATACAATTTGATAATATTTTCCTACTATCATAACACTGATATCTAACTTAGGTTCAAAGATAACCACGATGCCTGAAGTTGATATATGTTGAACAATGGTTTATTTAATTAATTCATTAATTATATTGCTTTTTATTTCATTATGTGCTTGAAAAATTGGATTAATTTTCATTAAAACTTTTAAATTGGTAAATAATACTTAAACATAATAGCTTAGGAACCATAGAATGTTATAGGTATGTGTGAGTCGTGTAGAGATTTATACGCAAATGACTTTTAAAATTATCACTGATCAACGAAAATCTGATAAGTTATCAGATTTCTGTTTATTTAACATTTTAGTCATTTCACGATAAAATAAAAATGATGACTAAGATTTTATAAAATTGAATACACATGTGGGGGTATATTATGATGATATGAAAAAAAATAAAAATTATGTATTGGTATTAATGATATCTGTAAACAAATATGATGAATAATCAGTGAAATATATATATATATTATATATATTATTATATATTATATATTATGTTAATAATATATAAATTAAATGAATACATAACTACAATAATAAAGCTTGATGTGAATTAATTAATTTAATATAAATAAGTACTCTAAAAATATATTTGAAGTGTTGGAGTTGAAAAAAATCAAAAATATAAGCGTTCATACGAATTTGGTCGGTTAGACGATTCACAATGTTTACATAAATACCGTTAATATTCAGAATAATCAAATTGAAAAACATTGATTTTTCCTACATTATAGCTTAGCTTTTTTTACAAATAACCTTTGTCTGGTTTTTGTCGAATATATTGTAAACCTTAATGTAATCCCACAAATTACTAATTTTTGTTATATGATGAAAAAAAATAATTGGTCAATAGCCTATTTTATACAAGGATGAGCGCTGTTATAAGCAAGTCATTGTGTTAATTATGGAACTGAAGTTCTAAGGGCGGGCTACACGACCTTGTATTACATTTTCAGACAAACAACTGGGCCAAGGTTTGGTTTCGGAAATTCAGGACTATGATTAATTACGTGGCCGGATATGGTTGAATTGTGTTCACCTGGGATTGATGTCCATTTACTGTACGTGTTCTCTAATACAAAGCACAATGAATACCTTTATTCATATATGCTCGGGATTTAGGATCGTCATCGCACTAACCGGCTGGTCCTTGTTTACCTAACGACCCGATTTGTTAACTTACGACGGTCTATGTCATATATTATAACGATAACTTATCATTATTCCCATTCAAACGTAACTTCCATTACACATTTAACCTTATAATTACATACATGAGTGTACGTTATCAATTTTGGTTAAATATAGAGTACGAAATGACATGTATCTCACTGTAAAATTTAAATGATCAATAACAAAGTGACTAAATATACCTAGTAAAAATATAAGAAACTAAATTTACAAACTAGAACAGTAATGATTAAAACGTTTATAATAATATTTTCGTTAGAAACTTAGAAGTTTTTAGTTAAGCGATTATTATATTATATTGTTATATTATGTTTGACGTACAATGTTGTAAACTAATTTTAAATTAATTTATAAATTTATATATCTAACAAAATAATAATTTATGAATTAAAATATAAAAATTACGATTATGTCGTATAAGTATTTATGTTTTATTGTCAAGTATTTGTATATTATTTTTTGTAATGTTCTATGTTATTTGTGTAGAAAAAGCTCAACTCTGTATTAAGTTCAACTGCTTAATATAGATTAATGCATGCTAAATGTTATATTATTCAGGGTATACCTTCCATTTTGTTAATAATTTATTCATTGAATCAAAGGTAAAAATTATGGTGTACGATCCTGTACATAATTTTTCAATAGGTAAACATTTGACTTTCATTAACTTTTGAATAATTAACTTTATCCGCATAAATGATTTATTAAGTGACCTTTAATTTTGGATAATAACATAGTGTTATAATATATTGTTTACAAGCAATTATAATAATTCAAAAATATAATGATACATTATTTTTCTATCTATTGTTTTTTCAATTAATTAAATAGTTAAAAATAAATAATACATTTGAAAAAACTATCAAAACTTGAAATATATTATATATACAGTGTGTAAACGCTAGGGTTAGGTTACGTATAAATAGTTCAAATTGTTGTCCACTATGAACAAAACACAATTCAGCACGTTGCATAAATTGTTTATTTGTTGCAGCTGTAATTTGTTCATCAGTCAGTTGATTGCATGCTGCTGTTATTTTATAATTTAATCTTTTAAAGATTATTAGTTCAGCATTTACATCAGGGTAATGCAGATCGAAAACTTACTTTTGTTGCGTATTTGATGGCCGGTTTAGAGTTTAGACGAAAATCCATTAATTTTAAATTCGATATTATGGACAGATAAATCTAAGTTCATAAATAATGGTGTTATTAATAATCAAAATAACCGTTCTTGGAATTATCAAATCCACATCGGACATTTGAAACCAATAATCAAACTTTTTGGGGAATAAACGTTTAGTGTGGTTTAATTGGTAGTAAATTGCTTGGTCCATTTTTTTTTTTATGATAGAATACTCAATGGTAGACGATATTATAATTTTTTGTTAAACGAATTACCGATGATGCTTGATGATATTTCTTTAGCTCTTAGAGAAAATATTATTTTTCAACATGACGGTGCTCCAACATACAATGCTCACATAGGTAATTCGCGACTATTTAAATGCACAATTTCCAAATTGATGGATAGGAACTTACGGACCCATTGAATGGGCACCATGATCACCTGATATTATGCCGCAAGATTTTTTTTATGGGGTCACTTAAAAATAATAGTATATGCCAACCTCCTATAAATCTTCAAAATGTAAAAGATCAAATAACAGCAGCCTGCAATCAACTGACTGATGAGCAAATTATAGCTGCAAAAAATAAAGAATTTATACAACGCGCTGAATCGTGTTTTGTTGACAGTGGACAACAATTTGAACTATTTATACGTTAAATTAATTAATTACTAAATACACTTATAACTTTAATAACAATTAAATTTGTTATTAATTATTAATACTTCCTAATAGATTCATTAAATGTAATGAAATAAAAAACATACTTTTTACGTTTTTTTCTGTTTTAAGTTATAACTAATACACAGATTACAATGAAAATTATACAGCAATTAAAATTATAATTATATGCGACTATCAACTTAATAATTAGGGATGAAAATTTCAAATCTAAACAATCCTGGAATAATTATTTTTATTTTTTTTAATTTTTTTTTTTTTAAGTCAAAAAACTGTAAATCGCGTGAATTTTGCAGTTTTTTGGTTAAATTGCTATAACTTTTGGACTTAGAAAGTTAGTTTAACTACTAAAATTCATGATTAAATAGGTGGTTACCATTTAAAAAAAAAGTTGTACTGCGTATGTGCATGTCTAATTAAGTTAAAAATATTCAAAATGTGTATTTTTAGGTCATAACAACCGATCAAAACACAGAATTCAAATCGTAGGACTCTACACAAATTTATTGAGTGTTCTCAGTTAGCGTTTACATACTGTATAATGTTCATAAAACATTTTAATACACATTTATTGTGATTATTACATATAATAATTAAATAGAAAAATAAGTAGTTTATTCACTTAATATAATTAGATTTTTAATTAAATATATTCTCATAATATTGTGTAAATGTAACCAATATAATATTATGATATACGTACTATCACAGATGAAAATTTTTCATTTAATAAAAATTCTACGATTATAATGTAAATTAAATGTACACAGAAAATTAATTTAAAATAAAGCGATAATTTTTAAGTACCTAGCTAATGTTATGATAATAATATATATCTATATAGAAAATAGAATTTATATGACTTACCGTCCGATTTCCTAGATTTCTCACTCTGCAGTTCAAATAAGCAGTGTGACCAACTAATGCAGTGACATTTTTTGATGCGACTTTGTCAAAATAAGGACCCCTTATGGATGTAGCTTCAATTAAAGGTGAAATCGTTTCATCCGGTACTTTGTGATCAATGGATCCTGATACCAACTCTAAAAACAAATTTAAATATAAGAAATATAATTCTTTTAAAAATAATTAAAATATTAACTGACCAGGTTAACAATATTTTAATAATAATAAACCAAAATATCAAAGGTATAATCATAAATTATAATATATAATTACAATTTTAACTTAAGCATAAACAATTTTAATTCTCAAATATTATTTTTTTAACTAAAAGTTATAATGGTTTTTAAATATTTTAAATAGTCTAAAAATTCCCCAATCGAAAACATTCTAATTTTTATTGTTTTATAATAATTAGGTACTTTATTTTACGATTTTTGATTACTTGGAATGATCAAGAAACTAATAAATTCGATTCACCGGCAGAATAAATGTTAATTGTAATAAATGAAATAGTATAAGGTAGCTTGTATCAACACACATTTATTAAAAATAAAGACAATAATAGTTTTATCATTCTTGTTTAAAATTTAAACTAGAAAAAAAATTTTCAAAAGACTTAATTCTACTGAATTGGGGATATCATTTGTTTCGTATCATAATAAAACCATTCAGAATATATTCTTTTGATCTTCTGGCTTTAAAATGATCCAACTGAAAGTATCTTAAACAATAAAAAAGAAGCTTTTTAAGCGAGTTTTATCTTGTCAATCGTTATACATCTATTTTTGGATTTGAAACTATTATTTTCCTACATGTCGTTTTAAACAACTTTAGTTAAATTTTAAATAATATAATAATATGTGGTATATTTGTGTACAAACATTTGAATATTAGTTATTTATTTTGTTTTAGAAATAAATAAATACTTACTAAATACAATATGCTTAATTTTTACAGTACATTTAGAAAATATTGGGAACTTAATCCTATATACAGAAAGTTATTTGAAATTTATATTAAATTGAGAAAAAATGTATTTATACACTACTCAGGTCATAACTTATCATGAAAAAAAAAAAAAAAACAAAACGAGAAATTCTCCTTTGGTCACTGTTTATAATATTAATAGTTGATAATTAGTCTAAATATTCTTAAAATTAAGCTGCGTATAAAAAATGGTACTATAAACTATTAAATATGTTTCAATTTACTTAGATAAATATTTTTAAATGCAACAAAATAACTTACAGCACTCAAAAAAAAAAAAAACTTAATATAATAATAACATATTATATAACTATTATTTAATTTTTTTGTGCATATTATGATAAAAAAAAATGATTAACATAATATACTTATTATTAAAATAATTTGATACTGACTATATTTTACATAATAATATAACGTCAGCAATATATCAGCTAAAAATTGTAGTATCAAGAAACAAAACTATTCATAATCACATCATTAACTACATTGTAATTCCGTAATAATCTCTATTTTAGAATAACGTATCTATACTTAAGGACTAAGTACAACGTCACACAACACACGGTGATGTTTGTTATTAAAAACATGGATCGATGAAGCGTCGAAAAAATTAATAAATGTTCATTGCCATTGTACCGTAGCCCATAGAATATACACGTCACTTTTTATTAAAAAAAAAAAAAAAAAAAGAACGTGGTTGTTTATAACTTTTTCAATATAGAAAGGGGATACACCTTAATTTTTCCTTTTAATATTAAAATAGCACACAGGGATATGGAATAAAATGATCAAAAAAATGGCAAACTTCAACACAGTATAAAATACTTACAAAATTAAAATATGACATATCTTCTATTATTTCAGTCTGACAATAATTAAGACGCATTTAACTTTTTATACATATTCACAAAAATGCTTTAAAATGTGCTAAATGTTTTGTGATGATGCATAATTGTTTTTGTTTTCCCACTTCTAAAATAATCGAATATGCATAATATATATTAGCCTGTTCAGAAAAAGGACAATATCATACTCTATGCACTCACTATAATTTAAATAAAATATAGTTTTATTTTTACATTACGTTGATTAAAATATAAATAAACATTTTTTTTTTTTTAAATTTTCAACCTTATTCATCAATTAAATTAAATAATATTTATTGTTGGAGATTTTTGAATAATAATTGTAAGACATTTTAGTGCTCATGTAACTCGATTAATATATAATATCATGATAGTATTATACCATAAATTTATCATAAAAAAATAAATTATACATCCAATACGAACAATTAAAATATAATAATGTAATAATAACTAACACTAACTCTTTATGTTAATTATCCTTATTTATTAGAAACTAAAAATATTATAATTTATAAGTCGTTCAAATTAAAATTTTCAAGCAAACTTTGTATATTTTTAATTTTTAATAAATTAGGTAATTCAATTTTATATAATATTTTAAGTTAAAAGTGATATTCTGATTTCCGAGAAAAAATTATATCTGAGTGCATTACTATTAAATCCATATAGTATGCATGAAATGCATTCAATTTAAAATACATTAAGTTATAAGTTATTACTAAAATACAATTGGAAAAAAAAAAAATATAAAAATTGTGTATTCTCTCTGTTTATCAAAGTCAAATTTTAATAATTCAATAATAATAATTGAAATCTTTAGATTGGTTATTAATTTTATTATTTTAAAAATAATTCAAATGCATTGATTTAAGAGAAACAGGCATGTAGCTAAATAAATCGTCATGTATATGATTCCACTATATTTAATTTGTACATATTATATCATATTGAACAACTTAGTTACTGTCACATATTTTGTTTTAATTTGAAATATGTATTTTCTACCTCTGGTTTAACTCAGAGTTCTGATATTTGCAAACACATTTAATGCCGCATGGTCGGGTATGTATCACAGAATTGATAATTATTAAATTATTATCTGTTATGGAGTTTATTTTTCACATACATGATATGATAACATGATTAGTTATGCATTAAACGAGTGTTGAAGTTTTTATAAATAATACATCCGACAAACGCATTAAACGCGTGGTGATATCGCACGAGTATATTTCTGTCCTATGTTCAAAGTTAACATTTAAATTTTAATCTTATCATTGTAAAATGAGTTTGGTCACGTAAAACGAATTCCCATCGTTTAAGTTGGTGTTCCGGGAGGCGTGTGCCAAGAGCAAGTGAAGTTAGATCCATCTAATAACATAATTTAATATTTAAGTACCGCATACCGCACAGAGATATAAATTATATGTATAACAAACACACACATACGGACATATTATATTCCATTGTATTATTAAATAGCACAATACGCTGTTTTGCGTAACATGTGTAATTGATTAAACGTATGTCATTTGGCCGGTACACAGGTAGCGTTTTATGACTCAACCTTGGAGCCGATTAAACGGAATCGAATTGGTTATTAAAAGAAAAAAAAATGAACAAATTAAAACGAAATAAACCATGGTACTGGGGGTATGTACGGATGATTTTAACCATCGACCTTTTTCATTTAAAAAAAAAAAAATAAAAAAAAAATATTCATTATTTGACGAATACGATGTTATTATTATTGCCGGTGATCATATCGATTTACAGTAATGAATATAAAACCTTTTATATTCATACATATATTATGTACGCCGTCGACGAACGGGGTACGAGATAAAGAGGACGCAGCGAGGTTGAAATATCGCGCGGCCGAGAATAGAGAAACAATCTATCAACTGGTGTGTGCACCCCACCGCGCTGGCTGCAGTTGCCATCACATCGTCGTCACCCGGTCGATTCGATGTCCGTAAAACGATATCAATCACGCGCTTTTCATTTTTTTTTTTTTTTTTTTTTGCCGTCCGCCTCTCCGCCGCCGACTGTCCCACGTACCACTACCACAGCCTTCTGCCATTGTCAGATTTTCGAATGGAAACGATATTTTTATTATTTTCATTCGGTCATTTGCCACCGCCGCCGCTTTATTGTGGGTACGAAATAAGAAAAAAAAAAGAGGATAAATAAACCTATTTATCCTGTATACGAAATACTATACATACATGGGTGTGTGTGTTTAAACGTTTGCGATATATATATATATATATATATATAAAAAAAAAAATATAGACGGTATTTAGAATTCACTGCGACGAAAAGGTAGCTGGAGCCGGGCTATGGTTTGCAAAGGAACTAAATAATTGCTCTAGTCGCATACATTCTACACGATTGCGACTAATAGTGTGCGTTTTAGAATTATACGACGATAAATCGCCGCCGCCCTGAACTCACACGTACGTCTACCATACTTACACACATACTACTTATAGCTTCAGATGTTACCGTGTTCTTATCTAAAACGATTTGGTTTTCCTGGTCTTTGTGAAAATGTAAAACGATGGTATAAACAGTGAAGATAACGTGGTAATATTCTATATTTCCTACACGATAAAATGTAAACACTAAAATAACTAATTCGTTGCACAGAAATAGACTGCGTACTGTCGGGTATTAGTGAACGTCTTTAAGGAAGTTCGGAAAACAATGAACGGGACCCAGGGGGAGGCAAGAATTTATCGGATCAGTTTTACTTGAATACAAATTTACGGCTGAACAAATAAATAATTATAACGACCATCGTGAAAGTAATTATAAAATCAAATTTATAGAATAATAAATTAATTTTTTTTATCGTTACTTTGGTAAATGAATAGAATTGTTTACGTGTTATGTGATATTATAAAAAAAATATATCAAATAAAATGAATTGCTTTGTCAAGAGCATCAATAAATAAACATAACTGTAGATCAGGATATGGTATAGTTAAAAAAAATAATATATCAGCTTATCGATAATTTTATATGGTTATTAATTCCAGTAGGTAGTTTATATTATCATAATTTCAACGTTGCAATAAGGATAATAATTATAGAGTAGTAGTCGGGCTTATATAATTTTGTATTAAATTATATAGTACTACACTAATACGATATAAGTAGGTAAGTGATCTTTACCCGGTTTCAACGGACCTGAAACTAATACACTAATACAGAAATATTTCTATTCTAGTTAATACCAAAATATTTCAATTAAATATACCATTTTTTTTGAC